GAGCCGGGAAATATAGACGAGCAGAGCGAGAGATGAAGCTCTGGGTGGGCTCAGGAGGCTATCACCAGGGCCGGACAACAGTTCTTAACTAGTCCGAAAGCCCAGCAGGAACCTGGACAGTTTCACCAGGACCTCAGTGCTGATCATGAGTGGAAAGGTCCAATGACAGCCGGAACTGCTATTGCAGAAGGGCCTGCTGCTGCAGAGGGTCTGCCATTGTAGAGAAGTCCCCGACTGCACAGAGGTCAAGGCTGGAAGCACCTGCTTCCTGAACATGGTAAATGCTGCAAGGTGGGGGCGGGGAGAAGACATCTGCTGAGAGCTATCAGTGAGACTTGTGGATGGGATCCCTGGGGATATCTCAAACTGAGGCTAGGCTCAGCACCAGTTTCCTATAAGCTTAACAACAGGATATAATAAAAAGTAACTCGGGAGCTGGAGAAATGGCTCAGTGGTTAGGAGCAGGCGTTACTCTTCCAGAGGACCTGGATTCAGTTCCCAGCACCAAGTCAAGTGATTCACAACCAGCTGTAACTACAAATCCCACAAGCACTAGCATGATAGTGAGTTCCAGGACAGCCAGGACTGTTACACAGAGAAACCTTATCTAAAAAAAAAAAAAAAAAAAAATTATAAAAAAAAAAAAAAAAAAAAAATTATTAAAAAAAATCATGATCACTATGGCCAGTATATAGCTTGAAGATTCTCCCCAAAAGCCCATGTGTCCAACACTTGGTACTTGTGCGGAGCTTCTCAACGGTGACAGTACCTTCAGGAAGTGAGGCCTAGTGGAATTAGAAACTTGGATGCCCATGAAGGGGAAATTGAGACAGTAGGCCCTTCCTGTTTCACTCTTTGATTCCCAGCTGCCACACTCCTCAGCAAGCTCCCAGCCATGCCGTCCCAACTCACTACAGGCCCCAAGAAGCTGGGCCAAGGGGTTATAGACTAAACCCTCTGACTAAACTTTTTCTCCTTAAAAATTTCCAGACCTCAGGTGTTTTGTCACTGTGATGGAAGGCTGATGTAACCGGTGATTCATTGCTGTCCCATGAAAAAGCTCTGCTTGAGTTCTGGCTGGTAGGCTCAGAGCTGTCTACTTTGTTCCACTGGGTTAGAGGCATCTGGCTCGCCTAGTGGTGGGAAGGGAGTTTCTGAAGCTTGCTCTGTGCCAACAAAGTAAATGACTGCATTCTCTTACTTGCCCAACCTTAGTTTGGCTTACATCTAGCCAGCTTTTCTTAACTTAAATTATCCCATCTACCTTTTGCCTCTGAACTTTTACCTTTTTTCCATCTCTGTTCATCTTTTCTTTCCTTCTTATTCCATGTCTGACTGAGAGGCTGGCCCCTTGAATGCTTCCTCCTCCTTTTCATACGCCCTCTTCTCTTTGACTCTTTCTATTTATTTTCTCCGACTGGCAGGCCCGCCTATCCTTTTTCCTGCCTTGCTATTGGCTGTTCAGCTCTTTATTAGACCAATCAGGTATTTTAAACAGACAAAGTAACACAGCTTCACAGAGTTAACCAAATGCAACATAAAAGAATGCAACACAGCCAGGCAGTGGTGGCACACACCTTTAATCCCAGCACTGGGGAGGCAGAGGCAGGTGGATCTTTGTAAGTTTGAGGTCAGCCTGGTCTAAAGTGTGAGTTCCAGGACAGACCCGGCTACACAGAGAAATCCTGTCTCAAAAAAAAAAAAAAAAATGCAATACATCTTTGCATCATTAAACAAACATACCACAGCATAAACAAATATATCACATCTTCAAGTAATCTTATACAACAGAGGTGTGTTGATGGATTGGGGGGGACTACTAGCTCACAAAAAAAAAACAGCACAAAGACTTATTATTAATTATGAAAGCTCAGCCTATAGCTTAGGCTTGTCCCACTAGCTCTTATAACTTAAATTAATGCATTTCTATTCATCTATGTGTTGTCACGTGACTCGTGGCTTTTCCCTCCCCTCCTGCATGTCTTGTTCTCTCTTTGCATCTAGCTGGCCAACCCACCTTTTTTTCTTCCCAGTGTCCAGAAGTCCCTGATATACCCCCTTCCTAGCTATTGGCCATTTAGCTTTTCTTAAAACACAGTGGCACATCTTCACACAGTGTAAAGGAATATTCCACAACAGAAGTAGCTTGTTGGGAACAGCCTTTTCTGTCCCCGTCTCTGCCTATTTAATTTAATTTGAGACTATGTCTCACTATGTAGTTCCAGCGGGTTTGGAACTTGCTATGTAGGTCAGGTTGGCCTTGAACACATAGAAATCTACCTGCCTCCTAAGTGCTGGGGTTGATGGTATGTACCATCACACCCAGCCTTGTCTCTACCTGTCTTAACCAAAGTGTATTATCCCTCCCTACAGTGAAAAGCAAAATCAGGGTGCAACTCCACCCCTTTCTGACCACCAAACCCTGAGCCTTGTGTTTCCATGGACTCTCCTTCTCTATCACAACTGCACTTCTTCCCTGATTAAAAAAAAATGTTAAAAACTGGACTGAAAGGCTGGAGAAATGGCTTAGAGTTTAACAGCACTGGCCACTTTCCCAGAGAACCCAAGTTGGGTTCCTAAAACCTACATGGTAGCTCACAACTCTCTGTAACTCCAGCTATATATATATATATATATATATATATATGTATATATATGTATATATATGCACATAAACATACATACATGCATTGTACATGCAGGTAAAACATCCATACACATAAGGTAAAAATAAATACATCTTTAAAAACAAACAAATGACTGGGCGTTGGTGGCGCCCACCTTTAATCCCAGCACTCGGGAAGCAGAGGCAGGCAGATCTCTGGGATTTCGAGGCCAGCCTGGTCTATAGAGTGAGTGCCAGGATAGGCTCTAAAGCTACACAGAGAAACCCTGTCTCGAAAAAAAAAAAAAAAAAAAAAGAAAGAAAGAAAAGAAAAGAGAAACAGGATGGGGCTGTAGCTCAATTTGTAGAGTGCTAACCTAGCATGCCCAAAGCCCAGGGTTTAGTCACCATACTGGCTATGGTGGCACATGCCTACAATCCCAGCACTCTGGAGGTAGAAGCAAGAACAGAAGTTCAAGGTCATTTTATCCTTGGCTACATAGTGAGTTATGGGCCAACCTAGCCCACATGAGACCTTGCCTCAAAAAACAAGCTAATGGGTTTTGAACCTAGGTTCAATTCCCAGCATCCACAGGACAGTACACAACTGTCTGTATTTCTAGTCCCAAAGGATCTGACACCCTCACACAAACATACATGCAGACAAAACACCAGTATACATAAAATAAAAATAAAAATAATATATATAGATACATACACAAATTACAAGCAAACAAAATAATAAAGCAAAATTACACACATACATGAAAATTTAAGGCCCATGCATTTTATAGTGGTTCTGATTTTGGCAAGGCTGTTTAGTTTAGCTTTTAGCTTCTTGATTTTGTTCTTGCAAATGCTGCTTAAGCTGCTCTTATTCGAATTCATTTATTCAACCAATACTTAATATACAGCTGCATTGCTAAGCACTGAGAAGTACTCAGAATGAATGGCAAAAGGTTCTCAAAGATGCCTGCCTCACAAGTGAGTGGGGCAGAGAACAAAACAGTAACTAAACCAAAGCCGTGCCCGAGCTGGAACTGTGTGACCTGCTGAGTATGATGGTGAAAATCCAGTTAGGCAGCTGCTAACCTCACACTATCTGGGAAGACCCCTGAGAGAGAGTTTTCTACAGACACCTAAATAAAGAGGAAGTAGCCACACAAAGGGCTGGAGCAAGAGCTTATGTGGACAGTTGACAGCAAAGTAAGGCACCAAGCCAGCCGAGTGGCTTAGCCTGGGAGAAGAAGAGAGAGGCCAGCCCACCACACAGTGGGTTGAGATGAGATCCCTCTAAAGTTTGTAGGTCAGTGTGCGGCTGGCTTTTCTTTATTCTCCTACATGACACCAGAGGAGTCTGAGTAAGAGGGTGACGGTGATTTGAGTCTGAGGTCAGTGCCCCATCAATCTTGTGCCTCCCATATGGGGCCACTTCCTTCCCCTGGGCTGCTTTTGCAATGCAGAGTGCATGTGAGCACTTCCCTTGGCACAGGCAGTGGGGACCCCGGGGCTCCTACCTCCCTTCCCCACCCCTGCTGGGCAGTCTCTGGGTCTGTGAAAGGACACCGCAGCCACCAAGTGCTCCATATGACCTTCACAGCTCTTCGGGCTCACAGTCCTAACTACAGTGACAATCAAAGTCTGGTGCAAGAGGATGCTATGCAAGTGGGATGGGGGAGGGGGGTGGAGTGAAACTGAAAGCAAGTCTCCCTTCCCGGCCCTGGCAGACTTGGACTAGGGAGGGTGGCCAGCAACAGTCCGGGAGAAGGGAAACTTTTAGAAAGCTGGGTGAGAAGGGACCCTGTGACCCACAGGCTTTCATTTCTCCTAAAGACTGGGTGACGTAGGCAGCCACAGGACCAGTGAAAGGGGAAGCCCAGAGTTTCTTAAGAAGCAGAGAGAGGCGCACAGTCTGAGCCGGGAGGGGAGGAAAAGCCAGAAGAGACTGGTGTGGGGGGAGGCAGAGAGGCAGTCAAGCAAAGAGGGGTGTGTGGAGGAGGTGGCAGGGGTGGGGGTGTGCATTGAAGCGCAGGTGCCATAAGAGAGGGGGACAAGAGTTGAGAAAAGGCGGGAGGGGGCGTGTGTCAGGGCCTGACTAGCAGGAAAGAGGGGGAGGTCAGAGAAGTGGAGCCAGCGGGTGACAGGGTGTGGGGATAGTCAAGGCCAGAGTGAAGGTAGGAAAGAAGACTGGGCAGAATCACTGGGGTGGAGATGAACAAGAAGTAAGAAGTAGAAGGAGAGAATGGAGATTTAAAGTGGAGATCGAATCTGGGTAGCGAAGAGCGACCTGAGGGAAAGAGAGGAGGCAAGGGGTGAGGAAAGAGGGCAGTCGGTTTAGGGTAGAAGAGGGAAGGGCAGAGGAGAGGATCTGTGTCACGGAGGCAGGAGGCCCACGATGTCTGCTGCGCCTTGTGCTCAGGAGCAGCCAAGGGGGTCTGGGGAGAGGCAACCGCTGGTAGCTCGCCCACGGGGTCCCCGACGACGGTGGAGAAGGACAGCGGCTGCTGCGGTGCTGCTGGTGGAGATGCTGGAACGTGCTGCCTTCTTTGGCATCACCTCCAACCTTGTGCTCTACCTCAACAGCTTGAACTTCAATTGGGAGGGCGGGCAGGCGTCAAGGGCCACACTCATCTTCCTGGGCGCCTCCTACCTGCTGGCTCCTGTGGGAGGCTGGCTGGCAGATGTGTACCTGGGCCGCTTTCTCACCATCTCGCTCAGCCTGGTACTCTACCTGGCTACCTCGGGCTTGTTGCTCGCCACCATCACCGACGATGGCCGCAAATCCTTCTGTGGAGAGATACCCTTGTTTCCGCTGGAACCGGCCTGCCCATCCGCAGACTGCCCAAGCTCCTGGTCCAGCCCCTACTGCGCAACTACCCTCTACTTGGTGCTGCTGCTCCTGGCACTGGCTGCCAGCTCCGTGAGGAGCAACCTCACTTCATTCGGAGCTGACCAGGTGAGTGGCCAGAGGCATTGTGCCACTGAGGCACAAGGGGACTGGAGATCCTGAGTTGGAGGTTCTAGCCTCCAGAGTGACCTCAGACAAACCACTCACCCTCTTTACACCAGTTTCCTTATTTGAAAACAGTAGGGCTGCTTGCTCTCCAAAGAGTCATACAATCTTCAGTAAGATTAGACATAGCTCCTGTCTCTAAGCCATGCCCCAAGTTTCAGGCTGAGTGCCTTTTTTTTTTTTTAAGACAGGGTCTCAGCATTTCAGACTGTCTCCAACTGGATTTGTGGTTGTAGTTGAACCTACTGCATCTACCTCCCAAATGCTGGTGTGCCACCATGCCTGCCCCAGTGGTGTGTGCCCCTGTGTTGTGTGTGTGTGTGTGTGTGTGTGTGTGTGTGTGTGTGTGTGTGTATGTGTGTGTGTGTGTGTGTTATTTTGAGACAGGGTCTCACCTTTGTAGCCCAGACTGGTCTAGAATTCATTAAATAACCCAGGTTGGCATCAAACTTGTGCCTATCCTCTTGACTTGGACTCCTTACTGTTTGCTGGGATTTCAGATGTGAAGCACCATACCTAGTTGCTATCTGTGTTTTAACTTGGCCTTCTTAACTATTCATCAGGTTGTTTGGGGGTTGATGGCGCATCAGTGGGACCCGAGGACTTGTACAGGAGCCAGCCAGCCTCTTCTCACCAAGCAACATCAGAGGTACTGGACAAACATATTCAGATCTTATCTTTGCCCGTCATTAGAGGGGCAGCCAGGTATTCACCTCACCTGAGCCCTTGACATTCCCCTAGGACATGATGTGGCATATAGGGAAAACAAAGCCAATAAATATTTGCTAAATGTTTGTCTTAAAGTCTTGCTGACATGGCCCTGTTTTGGTAGCTGTGCACAAATAGTATAGTTGATAATACAATAAACTAGTGGAGAATATTATTAAAACAACTACGAACAGGGTGAATGATCACAGGCAGAATGCAGAAATCATCACAGGCAGGCATGGCAAAGATGAGGTGTCTGTGGAAGCAGGGGTCAGGTGATATTGGCAGTATGATCAGGCCACTGGATGAATTGCACATTTTCTCTAATTCACTTTATTTTCCTCATGAAGCACTCGGAAGTCAGACAGTTTTCAATGAGTTAGGTCTTTCAGTTGACATCCACAATCCCACGCCTCACAGTGACCAGGGTCCTTACTGAGGACTGCCCTTTCTAATAACATGTATTTGTTTATGTGTGTGTGTGTGTGTGTGTGTGTGTGTTTGTGTGTGTGTGTGTGTGTGTGTTTGGAAATATACATGCACATGTGTGAGCAGCTGCTTAGTAGAGATCAGCAGAGTGTGTTTGGACCCCTAGGAGATGGAGACACAGGCATTTGTAGGCAGCTTGGGCCTCAGGCATCTGTCTCTTCCCTCCCACTTAGTGTTGATCAGGAGATTCCCATACTTGCCAAAAGGAATGTCCCATCTTCTACTTACTTTACTCTTTGGTTGACATCCCACTCTTTACCCGCTCCCAGCTGCCCTAAAACCCTGGAGTAGATAGGGGTGGCCAACTATTGCAGGGACTGGCAGACAGCAAGTTTATTCTACAAAACAGAATACAAAGAGGAGTTTATTGATAATGAGTGTGCTACAAAGAACAGCAGGCCGGGGAGCAGATTGTATGCCACCTACAGCACAGGGTAATAACATGTGAGGCTCCATTTGGTTGGAATGAGTCTCTTTATGGGCATTTCCTGGCATGTGATTTGTGCCCCCATGGAGGAAGGCAGTCCAGATTTGTAGTGTACAGTTCTGGAAGGTTAGCACAAGCTGCTTTGTATAGAACGTACAGTTGTGCAAATGAGAGCCATGCAAATCTGGGCAGTTCCTGTTGATCAAAATTCAGCTCTGATCAAAGCTCAGGTCACAAAACAGCTCTGTCAGCTCAGAGAATTCTGCCACTGACAGTTTAGGATTCCTGGACCAAGCTTGTGAAAATTCCCTAAAGGAGGCCATCTTTCTTTTTTGGTCTCTCATCAATGACCTTTCAACCATATCTCCAAGGTCCTCAGCCACCAAGCACCTCTTCTCTCCTTCTGGCAGCAGAACTGGTTGCCCAGAGGCTAGATCACGGAGCCTTCTGTGACATCTACAGCTTTACTCGTCATTATTTTAACATAAAATCACTATGTATCAGATGAATACTGTTTCTATGCTGGCAACCATCACAACAAATGCTCATTGTGCTGGAATTCTTGATTCTCAGCTGGTGATTGGCTTCCAAGCAGACTCTGGGTTGAGGGGCTCCCTCCTCCTTTCCATTCCCACATCCTTGTAATTTTTGCTGTCTTTGTAACTCGCTCCCCAGGACAGTGTAGAGACACTGGATTGGCTTAAGACAAGGTAGACTTTATTGTATTTGAATTCTTTAAAGATGGCTCTACTGGCTAAATGGTGGTGGTGCACGCCTTTAATCCCTGTGCGCAGGAGGCAGAGTGAGTTCCAGTATAGCCAGACCTACACTGAGAAACCCTGTCTTGAAAACCAAAACCAAAACAAAACAAAACAAAACAAAATTGGCTCTACTGCATTGGAGATATGGGTGGGGCCACAGGATTAGATGTACCAGAGCACTGGACAGGATGCTGCAGCATTCAGGAGGTTAGGTAGCCAGTCTAGGGATATGGGGAGTTTGGCACCATCTGGAAAATAGCCATGTATAGAAGCTGCAAGTTTAGCACACTTGCTGATTTCAGGAAGGGCCATCCATCATTCTCCACATGGCATTCGCTTATTCTGGAAGGATTCATTTATATCCCACATGGGCTGCATGGTCGGTCCCTTCCAGTTACACTTGTCATATGTACTTCCAATTAATAAATGGAAGTAGCTGTTCATAATGGGGCGTATTCAATTTTCTGCTTGAAGGTTCAGGCAAGGATTCTCAGTAAGCTGACATGGCAGTGCCCCTACTCTCTTCTCCAAGGGAGAATCCCCAAGGCAATGCAGTTTTAAACACATCTGTATGGATTATAATTTTACATTTAGATAAGGAGAAAAACATTTATCATTTCCTCAGCACAACAGCTGCAAGGAAAGCGTGGGAGAATCCTCTTAGTAAGTGGAAATATGTATTCCATGATTTGGAATGGGTGGAAGAATAGTGATAGATCCTAAGATTTGGTGGTTGTTGGGACATGGCTGTTAGCCAGACCTGGTACCACAGAAATCCCAGCTGCTTGGAAGGCTTAGGAAGGAGGATGGCAAGTTCTGCTTAAGCTACAGAATAAGTTCAAAGTTAGTCTCCACAACTTAATGAGAATCTGTTTCAAAAATAAAAGAGAGAGACAGACAGACAGACAGACAGACAGAGAGAGAGAGAGAGAGAGAGAGAGAGAGAGAGAGAGAGAGAGAGCTGGAGCTATATTTCAATGGTGGAGCACTTGTGTAGCATGTTTGAGGCCCTAACTTGGATCTTCACATGGAAGTAGGGGATTAAAGGGTGCAGTACATGCTACAAAAGCATGAGGAACTGAGGTGAAATCCCAACAACCTTATAAAAAGCAGTGCAGGCCTAGAGAAATGTCCCAGAGGTAAAAAGCACTGGCTACTCTTCCAGAGGACTTGGGTTCAATTCCCAGCACCCTCATGGCAGCTCACAACTGTCTGTAACTCAGTTGCAGGGGATCCAACACCCTCACACAGACATATGTATAAGCAAAACACCAATTCACATAAAAATAAATAATTTTTTTAAAAAGCACAGTGTGAACACACATGCCTCTCACCCCAGTGCTCTCACCCCAGTGCACACACATGCAGATAAACCTCAGTGTGTCTGCACACATATGCACACATGCACATGTACACACATGTACACAAACAAGAATGCAGAGACTCATTTGTGAAGCAACCCCTAGTTCTTCTGGCTTTTTAGAAATGCAGGAGCCAGGGTCTTCCTTCTGAACTGCTGAATCAGAATCTAGCGGGCATGGTCTGGGAATGGGAATGAAGCCAAGGCAGCTAGTCAGAGACAGCAGGACAGAGCGGAGGATCTACTGTAGATTGACCTAAATCCTGGGGTGAGATATGCCCTTGCTAAGGGGCCTGAGAAAGGTTTTTTTCATAAGGTCAGAGCTTGCTGTGAGGGCGAGGCAGCTAGAACCACCTCTACCCACCTCCTGTTTCTCCAGCTTTGTTTGACCATGCGTAGAAGGGGGAAGATAGCACACCCAAAGGGGTAAGCTCCCATGCAAAACTCAGCTTGCAACTTGAGCTTCAGAGAAAATTCTTAACCAGTCTCAGTCTAACCTTTCAGTAGTAGACATACATCGCATTAATAGTGTGGAATGAACGGAGATTTTTATGGACATTTTGCCGATTATGAAAGTAACGCACAGCATGGGTTGTTCAAAGACCAGAAGTGAACAAAATGGCCTTAAAGACATTTGTTGCATGTCCTAGTTGGTGACAATAAACAAACAAACAAACAAACAAACAATGTGCGTCATGAGCATATAAGACAGCTGGGTAAAAGTGTTTCAGTCATTAACCGGCTCTCAAAAAAGGGTATATGCATGGACTGGAGATTGCTCAGCAATTAACTTGCTTACTGTGCAAACATGAAGTCCAGAGTTTGGGTTCCCTGAACCCACACAGAATGCCAAGTGGCCTTGGTAACCTGCCTGTAATTTCAGTCTTAAACAACAGAGATGGATGGGATCCCCAGAATAACCTGGTTAGGGAGACTAGACATATTGGTGGACTCTGGGTTTTATTGAGAGATCCTGCGGTGAGATAAGGTGGAATGAGTAACTGATACATCAGACCTCAAACCTCCATATGTATATGTGCACCCCTGAACACGTGTGCTTACATACATACAAACATGCATGCACACATACGCACACCATACACATAAAAAAAAGTATGTTCACTATTCATCTAATGAATATTTACTGAATGTATATTTAGTAATCAGAGATTAGGAATGTGCTTACTTGCTGACCTCAGAAGCATCCCAATGGGATGTATGTGTACAGAGGACCTCCTGGGTCCTCCCTCACTCTTGTCCCTGGCTGGATGGCAGGTGATGGACCTTGGACGGGATGCCACCCGCCGCTTCTTCAACTGGTTCTATTGGAGTATCAACTTGGGTGCCGTTCTGTCCCTGCTGGTGGTGGCCTTCATTGAACAGAACGTCAGCTTCCTGTGGGGCTACAGCATCATCGTAGGCCTTGTGGGCCTGGCATTCTTCCTTTTCCTCTTTGCCACCCCCGTCTTCATCACCAAGCCCCCAACAGGCAGCCAAGTGTCATCTATGCTGAAGCTTGCATTCCAAAACTGCTGTCCCCAGCATTCTTCCAGGTAACAAAGGGTAAGGGTGGCTGCCAAGCCCCCTGTGGGGATCCAGATCCTTCTGGCTCTATTTCTGGCACTGAGTGAGAACCCGCCCTCCAGTCACAGTCAGAGCTACAATGACTAAGGATGGTGGTTCCAGTGAAAATGATGGGGCTGCCGGCGGTCATGTTGGTGGTGGTGTTACTGATAATCCCCTAATTAGAAATCATAAGGACACGGCTGTGGGGATGGCCCTGTCTAAAGCACTTGCCTACCAAGTTCTCATCCCTAGCACCAACTTAAAAATGCCCATCATGGTGGCACAGACCCACAGTCTCAGCACTAGGGAGGTAGAGACAGGTGAGTCCCTGGGACTTGTTCAACATTCACCCTAGCCTAATGTGAGCTGCAGGCCAATGAGAGAGCATCCCAAAGAAGGCAGACAGCATTCCTAAAAGTTCTCTGGCCTCTACATGCACATGCACACATGTGCACCTGTACACACACACACACACACACACACACACACACACACACACACACACACGTGCTTGGGAGATGGCTCAGTTGATAAAGCATTTACTGCACAAGCATGAGGAGCTGAATTTAAAACCCCAGAACCCATATAAAAAGCAAGGCATGGTCACATACATGCTTGTAATCCCAGCCTGTGGGGATTGGGGGGGTGGGGGCACTGGGGTGGAGACAGAAGGATCACTAGTTTGCTGGTCAAAAGCCTAGCCCTGAGTTCAGTGAGAGACCCTACCTCAGTGAGATGCCCTCTGGTCTCCACATGCAACACTCCCTCTCAAATTTAAAACCATGTTAATAATACCCACTGCACCTCCAGTTCACACAGGAATGTGCACACGTACTGTTCTAATTTAATTCTGTTGCTGTAACAAACACCATGATCAAAAGCAGCTTAGAGGAAGAAAGGGCTTTTTTTGGCTCTCAGGTTACAGCCCGTCACTGAAGAAAGTCAGGGCAGGAACTTGAAGCAGAAACCATGAAGGAATACTGCTTGCTGGCTCACTCAGGCTCATGCTGGCTTTTGTATACCGCCCAGGACCACCTGCCTAGGAAATGGCTCCCACCACAGTGAGCCTACATCAATTAAAAATCAAGACATCTCCCCATAGACATTCCCAAGGGCCAGTCTTATCTGGACAACCGCTCGGTTGAGACTCTCTTCTTCAGGTGACTCAAGCTGTGTAAAGAGGTTGACAGTAAAAGCTAAGACACCTGCACACACGTACTGAACACAGAAATGCATGCATACATGAGTGCACACACACACACACACACACACACACACACACACACACACACACACACCATGTACATACACACTCAAATTTTTAGAAGAAATGCAGAGGACAGTGGTGATATATGATGGGACTGGCAGTAAAAATAAGCACTGCTGGTGGGCTGCCGGTGACAATCAGGATGAGTAGGTAACTTGATGGCCACAGGGAAGTTCCCTGAGGTATGATCTGAATCTTTAGAGAGGACTACACTGGTGTTATCCTTTCGTGAGTCACAAAGGATGACACAAGGCTCTTAGACAAGAAAAGAATCAGGTCAAAGGGCAAAGAGAAAAGGCCAAAGGTGTAGCCACAGTTGATTTAATTATTCTAGAATAAAACAACCATGTTATTAAGTGAAACAGAGTCTTCAGAAAGCAACTGTCATGGCTCCCTCCCTCATGAGTTCCCACCTGAGAGAAATTGATTCCAAGTGTCCTTGGAAATGTTTGGTAGTCTACTGTCCTTTCCATCTGGTCTGGTTTTTAAATGTTATTTACTTGCTTGCTTACTTACTTATTTATATGTGTATGTATGTGAAGCAATTACTATATTGTTCTATTATTAAATAAAACTTGGGAGTAAAATATCGGGGTAAAAACCTGATTGCTCAGAGAAGGGTGGAGAAGTGACCAGTGACCTCCTCTCTCTCTTTCCTCCATCCAAAAGTGCCTTGAATCTTTCTAAGCCCCTCCCTACAACTTCTGTGTTTTTCTGTATGTTCTGGGTCCTCCAAAACCTCTATGGATAATTCTGGTCAGGTAGTAGCTAACTCTGCACTCTAATTCAAGGTAAACTTCATTGACAGTCTCAGAAATGTCAGAGTGTGATCAAAATATTCCACACAGTACGTGTGTGTGTGTGTGTGTGTGTGTGTGTGTGTGTCTGTCTGTCTGTCTGTCTGTCTGTCTGTCTGTCTGTTTGTCTGATACAACAAGCATAAGGAAATCATAGGACAACTCGTGAGAGTCAGTTCTCTCCTTCTACTGTGTGGGGCCCAGGGCTAAAACTCAGGTCGTCAGACTTGGTGCCAAGTGCCTTAACCTATTGAGCCATCTTGTACCTCCAAGCTCTGGGTTTCTCTGTGTATCCCTGACTGCCCTGGAACTCACTTTGTAGACCAGGCTAGCCTTGAACACAGAGATCCATCTGCCTCTGCCTCTCGAGTGCTGGGATTAAAAGTGTGCCCCACCACAATTGTTTCTGATCTCTTTTTATATTAGCTTACAAAATAGCGGCTTTCCTTTTGGCATTTTCATACATTCTTCCCACCTCCTCCTCTCCCTGTCCCCACTCCTCACTGTCCCCTCTGCCCCCATTCTTCCTTCCAGTTTTCTCACATGTTCTATTGCCCTTCCTAACCCCTTCTTAAAGCCTTTTGTTTCTTCTCTCCCAACCCCCGTTCTAGTTCCCTGTGTGTAAATATACTCACACATACATACACATGTATAGTAGCGAGCAGGTGGGACCATGCAGTATTTGTCTAAGCCTAGGTTACCTCACTTAATACAATACTTTCCAGTCCCATCCATTTTCCTCAGATATCATAATTTCATTGTTCTTTATAGTTGAACAAAATTCTACTGTGTAAAATTAACCACTTATGCCAAGCAAATCTGTCTCTAGTTTCTGGCCAGACCCAGTCCCAGCTGGGGTCAGTGGAATCTAGAGAAATGGGTTATGTGCCAGCCTTCCCCAGTCTGCTGGATTGCTGGAGGTCAGTCAGTGAAGTTACAGGTGCCAAGGAGTCTGGTGGGTTTAATTAGCCGTTACTGCCTTCACAAACCACACCGCAACTTACCGACTCAAGCACCAGCTTTTCATCCTCTTTCAAATGCTGTGGGTAACTACGGTTGGTTAGCAGGGCGTGTCTTCTGCTGCTCTCGACATCACCAGGTCATTTGGGAGCTTTAAAGGGCTAGATTCTAGAACATTCTCACACAGTGGTAGTAGATGGTGAGCTCGGAGCTTAGCGGGGACGGATGGTGAAAATCTAAGTTTCCCCTTCCTGTGGCCTCGTCTGTAGCTCGCACTTCTCGGGGATGGTGTTTGGGATGTGAAAAAGGATCATTCTAAGAAGGAATGTTCCAGAAGGTGGGTGGTAGAAGAAGCTGTGGGTCTTCTTAAGGGCTGCAGGGGCTTAGACTTTGCAAAGCATGGCATCAGCCTCTGTCTATTGACTGAGGAGTCACAAAGCCAGCCTGGATCTGGCAAGAGAAGCAGACCACAGCACTGATGAGGAACAGCACTGAAGGCTGGGAGGGGAGGAGTTTATGGCAGCCGTCCCTGAAGGAGACCAGCTGGACATTTTCCTTCTGGAATCTCGGAGGACAGCTCAGGGCTTTTGGATGAGAAAGGTTCAGAAACCCTGAGGGCAAAGGGTAAAGGTCGCTCTATCTGGTCTCTTGGTGAAGCTCCTTCCATCTCTGCCTTTTCACTCTCTACTCTCCACCTCACTGTTAAGTCCACTGAGGATAGACTTGGGGTCAGCAGCAAGGGAATTGGGGTACAACAAATCTGGAAGACTCTGAGTCGGATTTGTGTTGGGACTTCCGTGGTTCTCATGGTAAATGGATGTCACAAGTCAGAAGTCAGAAATGAAAACAAAATCCCTGAAGACTCTGCTTTCCTCCCTCTCTGGTTTTACACACACCACCCCGTCCCCCTCCCTGCACAAAACCCGAGAACTGTATACAGTTTGAGAGTGGTGAAAGTCTTATGCCACCCTTGACAGCTTGGGTGACATTGATCACATCACTAGTGGGGGTGGCAGGAAGGGTGGTAGAGTTGGTGTTAGAGGCCTTTACAGTGTAATGGAGGGGAGCAGTGGCTGGGATTCTCGGGGATCTGGGAATTGGTTCTCTCCATCCACTGTGTGGGCCCTGGGAATTACACTCAGAATAAAGGCCAATGCTTTTACCGGCTGAGTCATCTCACTGAAGAGGCAATGGGGATCCTGGGAGGAGGATGGTTGAGGTGGTGGCCTTAGTGCTAGAGAGAGCTCAGTTGTGCCTGTCTCTTTTTCTCTTCCTGTGGCCTTACAGGGACACTGAAGGTGCCCACCTGCTGCCTGACCAGAGGTCTCTCCAGTGGGGTCCTTCTCCACAGGAAGACATGGCCAACTTCCAGGTGCTGGTGAAGCTCCTGCCTGTGATGGTGACCCTTGTGCCTTACTGGATGGTATATTTCCAGGTAGGCGCCTCTGCCTTCTGGTCTGGGGCCTGGCACCCCAGCACCTCATGGGCTCAGCGCTTGCTGTAGAAGTCTGCAGCAGCATTTCCTCCTTACATGCTTTCACATGTGTGGAGCCAGGGCAGCAGTCTAATATTACCTATAGTTGAAGTTTTCTTTGGGTCACCAGAGCACAAATAACAACATTGAGACTTACTATATAAGCAAGCTTGACCTTAGCTTAGGCTTGTCCCACTAGCTCTTGCAGCTTAAATTAACCCATTTATTTTAAATCTATGTTCTGTTGCATGGCTCATTACCTGGTACTGCCCATGCTGCTTCCTCTGAGTCTCGCTGGCAACTCTGCCTTCTTCCCAGAGTTCTCTCTCTCTGTCCAGAAGTTCCTCCTATGCCTTCTGCCTAGCTATTGGTCATTCAGCCTTTTATTACACCAATCATAGTAATACATTTTCACGTAATGTACAAATATCCCACAACATAATCCATCCCTAACCCCCAAGTAACAAGGCCGTCACTTCCCGCACCCTCTTCATTGGAGAGAGCCTAAGACAGGGTCATAGCCTACTGGTCTAGGGTAGCACAGACTGTCCCACAGGATGCAGGAACATGGGGAAGATGTCCATACAAGCTGTCAGGACATTGACATCCTTCCACAGCGGCTAACAAATGGCTGCTGCCCTGACTGACCCCAGAGTGCCCCTTCCCCTTGCATGGTCCCCTTGCTCGGAGTCTCCTGGAACCCCTGCACTTCATGGCAGCTAGAGTACCAGTGTCTGGTACATTGAGAGGCAGGGCCACCAAACCTGTTCCTTCCAGCAGCTGTGTCCAAAGCCATGCTGGGCCAGGCATTGGTGGCACACGCCTTTAATCCCAGCACTTGGGAGGCAGAGGCAGGCAGATCTCTGTGAGTTCGAGGCCAGCCTGGTCTCCAGAGTGAGTGCCAGGATAGGCTCCAAAGCTACACAGAGAACCCCTGTCTCAAAAAACCAAAAATGAAAAAAAAAAAAAAAAAAAAAAAAAAAAAGCCATGCTGGCAGATCAGTACCTCTACACTGGTTATGTCAACGCTGAGGACTCAGCTCAATTTCAGTGTCATATGACAACTCCCAGTAGAGATAGCCATGTCATTATCTTCCCTCGTTTCAATAAACACTTATGCATACCCACCCCCCTACCCCATGTAGGATCTGGAGACACAATGGGAAAGGCATCTGATCATCTGTGGCCAGGCTCTGGGATAAATTTGTGGTTACTGCTCATGACCTGAGAACATCAGAAAACCCCATCCCCAAAGCTGCCTCCCAGTGAGAAGCAGGTTGGGAGCACCCTTCCCTGACTGGGGAAGGGCCAGCTGCCCAGGAATGCTGCTGAGGAATACGCTCCAAAGCCTCCTGGATTCAGAGGTCCAGTGACCAGCTCCACCCTGACCTGTCTCTATCTCTCCACAGATGCAGTCCACCTACGTCCTGCAAGGTCTCCACCTCCAAATCCCCAACATCTTCCAGACCAACCCTACCGATAGCTCTTCGTCTCTGAGCTCAGAAAAGAGTTACTACAGGGTAAGAGAGCAAGTGTGTGGTCAGTCCCAGCCATGCATCCTGTGAGACCCCCAACCCCTCAGTGATGTGGCATGCTTAGGAGACAAGAGAATAACCAGCAGGGTGGAGGAACATATGCAACAGCAGCCCCTCTCTCAGCATGGTCAGCTGCCCACAGGAACTAGGTGTCCCCGGCATGCTCCTGCTCACTGTCCAGTTTGCACCCCCCAGTGCACACACAGGTCCCTCTTCAGTGCTGCCATTTCCCCTATTTCCCTGGAACCCTTTCCATGCTGCACTCACAATGGAAAGTTGTATCCAGGAAGAACTTTGCCTTCCCTGATATAACCCTGTCCTCTAGTTACACAACTGAGAAAGCTGAGTACCATGGGGAATAAGGGTGGGGCAGGAGCACTAGCCCTGGGTTACTCAGGGGCATTGTCCAGCCCAGAGCTCTTTCTGCTCAGCCAACCTGTCTCTCCTGGCCCTCTCCCACTCAGATCCCAGAAGCCTGGCTCCTGCTGGCCAATGTTGTGGTGATACTGGTTCTGGTCCCTGTCAAGGACCACTTGATTGATCCTCTACTGCTTCGGTGCAAGCTGCTGCTGCCCTCAGCTCTGCAGATGATGGCTCTGGGCATGTTCTTTGGGTTCACCTCCATCATTGCAGCAGGTGTGTGATATACCATGTTCATTCAGACCCTGAGTGAGAGCTCTGCCCTCAAGACACAGTATAAGGGAGTGAAAGGCACTAGGTGTAGTGGTGCACACTTGTAGTCCTCAGCACTCAGGAGGGTTCGAGGCCAACTTGGGCTACATGAGACCATCTGAAAGCAAAGATAAATAAGCAAATAAATAGAGGCTGAAGAAATTAAAGCTAAAGGAACACTGTCTTGGTGATCAGGTGCAACACAAACTAGATTCTTTTGTGACTATCTTATTTATTTAAAGTATTTTGTCCTAGTAATTTTGGCCTCAGTAATCTCGGGGATTGTATTGGTTCTTGGGTAAGGGGATGAAGTCTCCAAAAGGTTGGGTAACTTGCCTGGGTTTGCACAACAAGCCAGTGGAAGGGCCAGAACTAGAATACAAGTGCCCTATCTGATTGTGATTTGTTCATCAGGGCAAAGATGTCTCCAAAGCATTGTAGGGAGAAGACAATGAACCTAAAATCCAGGCTGGAAACACTACCATAATACCTAGCCTTGCCCTAGAGAAGTCATGTGATCTTAAGGAAAGTAGGCCAGCTTGAAAACCAGATGTACTGGGACTAAGATTTAGCCCTGACTGCTTATAAACTGTGTGATTCTGGGCTGATTGCTCAATCTGAGTTTCACTTTCTTCATTTGCAAAGACTGTCATAACAGATTCTGGATTAATAAGAACTCCTACAAAATACAAAACCTAGCTGAGCTTCCTAGCAGCCAAGGCAAAAAAAAAAAAAAAAAAAAAAGAGTTGGAACTCAAACTCTAAACTGCCTGGGGTGGTCTAACTGTACTCTCTTGCTCCCCACCCGGAATCCCCCAGGAGTCTTGGAGAAAGAGCGCTTGAAGTACATTGCTGCCAACCACACAGTGCCTCAACTGATTGGGCAGGACTTGTACTATGCGGCACCACTGTCTATCTGGTGGCAAATCCCCCAGTACCTGCTCATCGGGATCAGTGAGATTTTTGCCAGCATTACAGGTATGCTGGATTCCCTCCCCAGCTCCTCCTACACTGGTGCTAAGCTCTGCTTGGGTGTATGTACCTCCAGACCAGAGGGAACCACCGACCGGCACAGATAGCATTCTGGCTTCTGTATGGAGGGAGCAGTGATTCTGAATAAGGTCTGTGTCTGCTCCAGTGAGGTTTGAGGGACTTTCTAGCACTGGGTTCAGGCTTGAGCCAGCCATTGCATCAGACCCTTGGGAGTTAGAGGTTAAAAGACACCTCCTATATGTCCCCTGAGCCCTGGATTCTGCCTATCTTTTGCCTTTGTGGTCATTGTTCCTTCTGCATCTTTCCTCAAAAATCTCCTGGGCTGGGTGCTCTTCCCTTCTGGGATTCACACTGTGTCCTACAGTACAGACACACAGACACACACACACACACACACACACACACACACACACACACACACACACCAACCCCATCCCAACCTAGTCAGGAAGCCAAAACTGCAAGTTTGGGTAGGCTTTCCCTCTAGGCCATGGTGGGAATTCTAGATCTTGATGATAAAACTGACCCTATGAACTCAAGTTGCAAGCAAAAACAAACAACAAAAACCAACCAGTGCTGGACTGGAGGCTGCAGAGTGTGGCAGGGCTGAGAGTAAGGTGGGAAGGGTTAAGGAGATGGCTAATGGGCAAGCTGAAGCCAGAAAGTATGGGAAGGCCCTCCAGTGCAGTGAGGACAGCATGAACCAGGAGGCACAGCGGGGAGTAAGCACTGGAGAGGGGAGAGTGTGGAGAGGGAGTCACTGTGGGCCCAGTGGCTGAGCATGGATGAATTCTCCCAAGGCCAACAACACCCGTCGGTCCTCCCATCAATCATATAGGGAATGGAAGCCTCCGAGTTCCAGACAGCCAGGCAGTTGTGGCGCAGGCCTTTAATTCCAGCAGAGGCAGGCAGATCTCTGTGACTTTGAGGCCAGACTGGTCTACAAAGTGAGTTTTCAGGACAGCCAAGGTTACACAGAGAAACCCTGTCTCAAAAAAATAAAATAATAATAATAATAATAAATCAGAGAGCCACTCAGCTTTGTGTGGGTGATGAGGGAAAAGGGGGTTGGTGCCCAGCAGAGCCTACATTTGGATACTATTTTAGATGCTGAATGGAAATGATTTGGTGATGGTGTGGAAGGAAGGTTGGAAAAAAGTAGGGAAAAGCTGAAGAAGCTGCTAAGATGGAACCTACCCCCATCACTGGGATGCCCAGGAGGTAGAATAGAGCTCTGGGGTGGTGTTTGTGATGTCCAGGGAGTGCTCTATCAGATGTGGATGAGGAGGGCAGACAAAATGTGTCACGTCACAGGTATGCAGGTGCTATCAGTCATGGGGACACACCATCCAAGGGAATTAGGATAGAGGCTTGGAAAGGCGGGCAGGAGAATATGACACCCCCCCCCATCCTGGGAGTTTGAAAGTGGGGCCCATCTCTGCTCCTGCTGCAGCCCAAGTTCCTTCCCTGTCTCTCCCACAGGTCTGGAGTTCGCCTACTCAGAAGCTCCACGCTCCATGCAAGGTGCAATCATGGGTATCTTCTTCTGCCTTTCTGGGGTAGGCTCACTGCTGGGCTCTGGCCTGGTGGCCCTACTGTCCTTGCCTGGGGGCTGGATGTACTGCCCCAAGGACTTCGGTGAGTGAGAGGGAACCCTCCCCAGGATAGGAATGGAGGGCGGTATAGGGATGGGACGAGCAGTCATGCTTTAGATTCAGTGGCCCTCACAGGCACCTTCCTGCTTCTGGAACTCAGCCATGACTGACTGATGAGTGGTCACTTTCTTCCCTGGTGTTTGCTTCAAGTCTCCAAATAGAGGAATAGGAGATACACCAAGAGACACTTGGGGAGTTTCAATACTAGAGGGCTCTCTACCCAGTGCTCTCAGACGGCACTCACTGGTGTGTGGCTTTAGCTGCTAGCCCAAGGAGCCCCTCCCTACCTACATGTCAGTCTTCCTGTTCCCAGGGAACATCAACAACTGCCAGATGGACCTTTACTTCTTCCTGCTAGCCGGCATTCAGGCTGTCACAGTTGTCCTGTTTCTCTGGATTGCTGGTCGCTATGAGAGGACTCGTCAGGACCCAGCCTCCCAGAGCTCATCCAGCAGGGTCAGGGGCTGACTTAGTCTCCAAGCACACGGATAGACAGTGTCACATCAGAACTGGCTGTACCCATTCTCATTTATTCTGTACCCAACATTAGAATGAAGTGGTTCCCATAAATAAGGGGCATGCGCCCTCCCTCTTGACCATGGTCCACAACAAGGGATGGGGTGGAGGGGACCTGGGTTCGGAGGGGACCTTGGGTCCCAAGGGGACCCAAGCAGGGGACTCGGATCAACAAGCACCAGAGGATGAGCATAAGGGCCAGGCAAGAAGTCCAGCCAGACACCCCACTGGTCCCACTGCCTGGGCTGGTGGCTGAAGCTGCACTTGGCAGGCCAGGGAGTAGTCAAGAGCTGCCCCGGATCCTCTCCATGTAGTTACGAAGCTCCTCCGGGTCCTTCAGCCCCATGTCCTCACACACCCAGCGGATGTCCTCCTCACCTGCCACCAGGATGGACTGTACAGCTGGGGCCCCTACAGGCTCCTCCGGCAGCTGGGCTGGGGGTGCGGGCGCAAATGTCACAAACTCTACTCTCTTGCGACGTCCCCCAGCTTCTTTGCGGGCCAGGGTGCTCGAGGAGCCAACAGTGCCCTCTGAAGCACTGGGGGCCACGGTTGGGGCATCCCCTCCTGCTCCACTTTCACAGGGGCAGCCCCCCTCCCCCTTGGGTGGGCCCGGGGAGGAGCAACGGTCCAGCTGACGACTCAGTTCCTCCTGGTTGGTGCCCAGCCAGACCCAGTTGTGCGGCTGCGGGGAGGAAGGGTCCGTAGCGCTGTCGGGAGGCTCTTTGCGCTGGTAGCGCAACACGAAGACCACACCATTGACCAGAAAGATGAGGATGGCCAGACAGAAGATACCCAGCAGAGCATACATTCCCAGCTCTAGGTCGGTGACACGCTGAGGGGCAGGCACCATCTCTTCCTCGTCTTCCTCCTCTTCTTTGGCCTCATCCTCTTCCTTCCCAGCCTCTTCCTCTGCCCGCTCAAACTTGCCTCTAACGTCCACATGGCCCCCCATACCACCCGCTACCTGCCGCTTTCCCTCCACAGTGGCTTCTGTGAATGGTGGACTCCGGGCAGGACTGGATGGGAGGGCAGGAGCTGGCGTGGGCAAAGGGGGCAGCCCCAGCCAGGCAGTGCCTGAAGCCAGGGGCACACGATGGCGGCCCCGGCGACACGGTTCCGGTGGGTGCAGAGCCACGTGTAGGGGCAGCCCTTCAGCACCTACTCCACTCACCACCACACCAAGTCGGGCTCCCTGCTCTTCCGCCGGTAGGACAGCACTGGGCTCCTCAGCTGAGACTGACAGTCCCAGGTCACTGCGGTCGTAGAGCTCGGCAGGGGCCAAAGTGTGGTCAGAGAAGGACAGCCACAGGGAGAGGGCCACCTCCTGCAGGGCACACGGACACAGGCAGAGACACGCGAGGGCAGGCATGCATGCACACACAAACCACTCCCACAGTGACAGGCCACACGGAAGAAAGCGCACAGAGGAAACAGAGACACAGGCAAATGGACAAAACACAGGGAGAGAGGGGATGCGTGTCAATCACCTGTCTGCCACTCAGCCCAGGAGTCTGAGTCCTCAGGAGAGCCTAATGAACCTCCCAGTGCCATACTCCAGCCAGCCACTGCTTGATCACTTCCAGCCTCAGAGAACTCACTACCTCACGGGAAGTAGTCCTTATTTTGAAAACCCTGGTCCAAGTACCAGGACCCACTCCCTCCCATCCTCCTCCACCATCAGCCCCCATCAATAGCTGTTGGCCATGCTCCCTGACCCCTAGCCATCACCTGCTTTGGAGCTGGAAGAGCTGACTGGGCCCAGCTCGTGGCTGTGACCTCCCCAGGGTGGATCGTGCCTCGGCTCAGGGCCAATGAGATGCCCATCACCGGCTGCACTCTCAGCTCTAGCATTGAGACCTTGTCGTCTGTCACAGCCAGTGCCTGCTCCCCCAGGATGGAGTCAGATAGTGGGGAACGAACCTAAGAGTGGGAAGCAAATGAAAATTGGGGTGGTGGTGGTGGGGTCTCCTGCACAGTTTCCCAGCATTTCTACACTCTAAAAACTTACAGACTCCAATCCACACCAGAGGACAGTGCCCTTCTGACGGCCTGTCCCCACACACTTATACCCTTGTCCTTCACACCCGCCACATTTCCTGCAGTGAGCATTTCCTTCAATGAATGCCATTCTCACTCAGCCTCCTAGACCTGTTCTCCCCAACCCCTTCTGCAGCCTTCACACCTAATCAGGGACATTCTGGGGACACCGGCACCCTGGGGGGAGAGGACGGAGTCCTGCTCTTTAGCGTCCCCTATGGTGACTCACCTCAATAGAGGTGACTCCAGGCTCCCGACCCACTAGGATACGGCCGCCTTCCAAGGAGGCTATGCGAGGATCTTGCACACGGGCATGGGCTGCCACAAGGTGAGTCACCCCCCCCAGCCAGTCAGGGCCGAGTAGGTAGGTGAGGCAGAGGCCACCATCCAACGGGTGGGCCACAAAGGGTACCAAGAAGCGCACACCAGCTCTCTGGTACTGCAGGCGGCAGCCCCGGGAGCGTTTCTCTGCCTCCTCAACAGCGGCCTCAGGCTCCAGCTGCCTGCGGGGTGGGGCGGGGCGTCAGTGATGGCTCCGCCCACTGGAGACCACGCCTTGCCCAAATTCCAAACTCAGCAAGGCCCTGGCCTGCCACCCACCTTGAGGTTCTGAATTGAAGCTTAATGCCTCAGCTTGCACAAATGACAAAACAACAATAGTAACCAGAGGTGCGTGGCTGGTGTTTGCCTCCTGTTCTTCAAACTTTGTCCTGAATACCCTCCCTTCCGGGTCCCAAGTCTTTCTGCTCAGACCCCAGTTGAATTACGGTAAAATGGGCCTTTCTATCCAATTTGCTGCACTTATTTCTGGATATCTCTGGAGTGGGAAGGTGACAAGGAAATGGAGTGACAACTCCGTTTCTACAGGGCATGAGAATTACATTACTTTGAGAGGCCCAGGCACCACATCCTCACCTTCAGGTTCTGGCGAGCCTCCCCACTACCTGGTATAGTTTATTTTTATGGAGCTTGGTCCATTCAAGGCTTCGGGGTATAGTAGTAAACACTCTCAGGGATAGAGTGTGGAGCTGGAGAAGAATGGGCAGAAAACTAAGCAAAGAGAATTTGTATGTGTTACGGCTGATAAGGAAGTTGGGGGAGAAGGGACAGGGAGGTTGCCAGTTTACACTACAGTGGTCAGGGTTCTGGTGGTCAAAGGTAGGTGACGGCTAATATTGTCAACTTGACAAAATCCAGAATCATCTGAGAGACAGATCTCTGGGCATGACAGTGAGGGCAACTGAGGTGGGAAGATCAACCCTAACTATGGGCAGTACTTTCCCATCAGCCGGGATCCACTACTGAATAAAAAGGAGAAAGTAAGCATCTATCACCAGCATCTATCACTCTCTCTGCTTCCTGACTTCGGATGCAATGTGAGCTGTCCAGCTCCCTAAAGTTCTGCCACTAGACTGCCCCACCATAATGCGCTGTACCTTGAACCATGAGCCAGATAAACCCAGTGTTTCTTAAGTTTCTTTTGTCAAGTGGTTTGTCACAGCAACATGTAAAGTAACTAATGATCAGAAGGCACTGCAGGTGAGCAGGGAGCAGTGTTCCAGACCCCAGCCTGGTTCCGTGGACTTGTCCACTGTGTACCCTCAGTCCCAGAAGGAATTTACCAAGTCCTATGGGCTCCTGCAGAGCTACACTCACCCTTCTGCTGGGCCTGGGACCCTCCAGCCTCGAATCTGCTCCAGAGTCGTGTCAGTTAGCTCGATGTGCAGGGGCAATAGTGGGGCCCATACGGTCAGCTTCAGTGAGGCCCGCAGTCGGCGCCACCAGAAGTCCACCCGCACTCCCTTGGCCCCCCGACTCTCCTGGCCAGCCACAAACACAGCATCACAGGCCTCAGATACCTATGGAGAGTCAAAGATGGGCAGAGACACAAATGACAGGCGTTGATATAGCATCATCTACTCCAACCATAAGGAGGCTACAACTCAAACTCAATTATGTATGGCACAGAAATGTGTGTTGTGGTGCACTGGACAGCAGCTGCTCTTAGTTTAAAATATTTTTGCTGTGCTACCAAAATCTATCCCAGAGGCATTGGGCCATAATTTGGTTCTCCAGCAGACGAGCTGGGCCATTTGCATGAGACACACACAGCCTTCCTCCTGGCAGAGTCAGGGTTGAACTTACAATGTTAGCTCCTTAGTGTCAGTCTCGGACATTGCTGCTGGAGGCATCTAGCAGCCAGCTACAGCTAAGGTTGAAAGCTGAAGGGAAAGATGGGCCCACCCACCCAGGAGCCTCATGGTGCTGTCACTGCTGCCTGGGATCTGGGTCAGTGCTTCCTCGTTAAGAACTCAAGATGGACAAAGCTGTCTACCCTCTTAACTTCACAGGTCATTAAGACAGTGATTATTATGATAATATTCATCAGATTATAACAGTAGTAACTGCTGATGTCTCCGTTCTTGCTATCTGCTGGGTACTGTCTTAGGTACCTTTAACTCTAATAATATGTTAGAGTTGAGGGACCTGAGGCTCAGAGAGGTGAAGAGACTTGCACATGATCACACAACTAGTTCATAACAAAGATGGGCTGTGATGATTAATATTGCCAACCTGATGAGATCTAGAACTCCCTGGGAGACAAACCTCTAGATATGTCTGTGAGGGAATTTCCAGATTGGGTTCACTGAGGTAAGAAGGCACATCCTGGATATGGGCAGCGCCATCCATGGGCTGGGTCCCCTGCCCCATCCCCCACCCCCTAAATAAAAAGGAGAAATCCGTTTTTTCTCAGCACCAGTATTCCTCTCTCTGTTTCCTGACTACAGTACAACATGACCAGCTGCCTCAAGCTCCCATGCTCCTCCTTCCCTGCCATAATGGACTGTATCCTTATCTACAAGCCAGAATAAACCCGTCCTTCCTTAAGTTGCTTTCATCAGGGTTTTCTCACAGCAGTGAGGCAAGTAACTAACACAGGTGTCCACAAAAACTTCCTGATTCCAAAGGACATGAACTCTTCCAGCTCAGCTCCCTGGCTAGCGCCAAAATGGACGATGGACAATGAATATAGCAATAA